ATCCCCACCCCAGCTAAGACTTCAGGCTTCATTTCTTTAGAGTAAAACAAGCTGAGTGCAGAATCTCTAAATTTTTATAATTTTTTTTCTGCTATTTTACAGTGGTCACACATATTTGGGTAGAAATTCTTTTAGTGACTGTCCAAAGCAATGGCCTTACATTATTTAGAAACAACAGCTCTATTTTGTGCTCATATTTTATTGGTTTTGTTGTTGTTGTTAAGTGTCATCGAGTCAGTTCCTACCCATAGCGAGCCTGTATAGGGTTTCCAAGGAGCTGGTGAGCTTGAACTGCCAACCTTGCAGTTCAGACGGCTTTGCAGTCTGGCGCATTAATCCACAGCGCCATACCAGGACTCCGTTTTATTGGTTTACATCATATTTAATTATAATTATTATAATAAGCATGACTTGTCAATGCAGGATTTGGAATAAACCACACTGAATCTAAGAATCACCTCAAGTAGAAATAAAAATGATAATAGAATTCCAAAGGGGATTCTACAGTCGGGACTGCTGATTCGTGGGTTTGGGACAGTGTGGCTTATTGAGAGATGGAAACGTCAGTGAGCCCAGAGAATACGTTAAATGGTTATCACTTAAGTGAGTTTCCAGTATAGCAGTGGTTCTCAAACTCTAGCAGGCATCAGAATCTACCTAGAGTGTGATGTTTTTGTTTTTTCTTTTGTCAGAGATTTTAGTAAGGATTTTAACTTTTTAAATAAGGATTGGGAGCCCAAGAATTGCATTTTTTCCATCATGATTTAGACTCCATCACCATTCTTTAAATAGAGAGATAGACTATCACCAACTTTATATGCAAAGGAGAAAGATCTTGGATAAGCAAAGCACTACTAAAAAACAAGAACAAAATAGGAAAACTTACACCCCGATCTCAAAAGCTGGTATATAACCAGGGTAGTCAAAATGGTCTGGTGCGGACACATAGACCAATGGAACCAAATTGAGAACCCAAAAGTAATACCAAATATTATTTGGTATTACTGACAAAATACCAAAACCTATTAAATGGGGAAGAGAGACCACTATTTAACAAATAGTGCTAGCAAAACTGGATATCCATTTGCAGAAAAATGAAACAGGATCCATAACTCTCATCATATACAAAACTGAACTCAAGATGGATAAAAGACTTAAATGTAAAACTTAAAACTATAAAGATCATCAAAAAAATAATTGGAGTAAGTTTAGGGCCCCAAAACATAGCATGAATGTACTATCTAACAAACATAGAAGGAAAACTAGACAACAAGGACCTCTTAAAAGTTAAACATTTATGCCCATCTAAAGACATCACCAAAATAATAAAAAGAGAACTTATCGACTGTAATCTGTAAGTTGAAACCAACTCAATAGCACCTAACAACATATCATAGACTGGGAAAAATATTTGGCAATGAAATATCAGACAAGGAACAAATCTCTACATTTTATAGAAAGCTTCAATACCTCAACAGCAAAAAGACCCAAAAAATCCAATTTAAAAATGGGCAGAATTCATACAGACATTTCACTAAAGAAGGCATTCAGGTAGCCAATAAACACATGAAGAAATGTTTGCTATCATTAGCCACTCTTGTTGTTGTTGTTAGGTGCCATTGAGTCATTAACGACTCAAAGAGAATGAAATACTGCCTGTGCACAACAGAATGAAATACTGCCTCGTACTGGGCCAACCTCACAATCGTTGCCACTGTGCAAATCCATCTTGTTGGGTATCTTCCTCTTTTTCTCCGACCCTCCATTTTACGAAACTTGATGTCTTTCTCCAGGGACTAGTCCCTCCTGACAACATGTCTGAAGTATGAGAGATGTAGTTTGGCCATCCTGGCTTTCAGGCAGCATTTTAATTATACTTCTTCCAAAACAGATTGGTTGTTCATTTTGCAGTCCATGGTACTTTTAAATATTTTCCCCCAATACCATAGCTCAAATTCATCAACTCTTCTACAGTCTTCCTTATTCACTGTCCAAATTTCGCACACATATGAAGTTATTGAAAATACTATGGCTTGGATCAGGTGCACTTTAGTTCTCAAACTGACATCTTTGCTTTTCCTTTAAAGAGGTCTTGTGCAGCAGATTTGCCAAATTCAATATGTCATTTGATTTCTTGACGGCTGCTTCTGTGAACATTCATGGCTGAGTTGAGCAAAATGAAGCCTTTGACAACTTCAATCAGTTCTTGTTGTTAGGTGCCGTCAAGTCAGTCCCACCCAACTCATAACAACCCTGTATAGGGTTTCCAAGGAGCAGCTGGTGGGTTTGAACCACCAAATTTGTAGTTAGTAGTCCAGTGCTTATTTTAACATCACCACACCAGAACTCCTATGATTAATAATTGTTGTTAGTGCCATCAAATCAGTTCTGACTCTTAGCGACCCAGTATAGGGTTTCTGAAGATGACTGGTGAGTTTGAACCACCAACCTTACATTTCAAACCAATCTTGTGGTCGAGTGCTTATCCTACAGCACCACACCAGGACTGATGTAAATCAAAGCAGCAAGGAGATATTAGCTTCCCCAGCACTAATAGCAAATGCTGGTGAGAGTATGGAGAGACTGAAACCATTATGCAAAGTGGTAGAACCACTGTAGGAAACAGTAGCACTTCCTTAAAGAGTTGGAAATAGGAATGCCATACGATGCAGCAATCCCACTACTAGGTAGATAGAGGAAGGACAGCTGTGATATGAACAGGTGTATACACGTCCATGTTCATCACAGCGTTAGTTACACTATCAAAAAGATGCATAAAACCTATGTTCCCATCAGTCAATGAATAGATAAAGAAACTATGCTACATATATACAATGGAATCCTATGAAACGTTAAAGAATAGCGATGAATTTGAAAAACACTTCACAGCATGGGCGAACCTATAGGACAGTATGTTAAACTGTTGTTACTGCTGTCTAGTTTGTTTTGACTCAAAGTCACCCAGTATAAAGTTTCTAAGGAGCAGCTGGGTGGGTTTGAATTGCAGACCTTGTAGGTAGCAATTTAGTGCTTATCCTACAGCGCTAGACCAGGATGCCTAAATTAATTTAACCAATCACAAAAAGATAAATATTGTATGAGAACCTTGTCTTACAAAGTCAAGAAAAGGTTTACTCACAGTAAGAAATATACTTGGACGGTTAACAGAGGTGAAAGTGGAAGGGGCAGTAAATTACTAACTAAAGGGTTGTTGTTAAGTGCTACTGAGTCGGTTTCGACTCAGAATGACCCTGTGTAGAGTTTTTGGGGTTTTAAATCTGCTGGCACCCTGAATTCAGACTGCTAGCCTCCTAAACTGTGACAGAATAAATTTCTGTTTGTGAAAGCCATCCCCTTGTGATATTTCAGCTAGAGAACTAAGGCAAGAGTCGGTTAACATAATCTAGCACACAAAGACAACTTTCTACATCCTATTTTGATGAGTAGAAACTGGGGTCTTAAAAATGGCCATCTAAGGTTCAACTATTGGTCTCTCCCATCCGATCAAAGAAGATTGAAGACAATCAAAGATGTGTGGAAACAATTAGTCCAAAGGACTAATGGACAACATGAATCCCAGTCTCCATGACCCTTCAGGCCGGAAGAACTAGATGGTTCTTGCCAGTTGATCTGAAAGGGATCACAATAGGAGGTGCTGGATAGAGTAGGGAAGAAATGTGGACCTGAACTCAAAAGTACAAAAAAGACCAGGATTACTGGTCTAAAATAGACTAGTGGACCCTCCAAGAATATGACACTCAGACACGCTTCAGCCCTGGAACTGAACTCACCCGTGTGGCTCAGCTTCAGCCAAACAATAGACAGGCCTATAGGATGAACAATAACTTGGGGAAAGTACACGCCTTAGGACAGTCCACCAATGAGATCAAAAGGGCAGCATTTGTCCAGGGATAAAGTTCAGAGGCAGGAAGGGATTAGGAATGAAGGACAAATAGGGAGGAAGTAGAAAGAATGCTGTTGCATTGTGGGATTGCAAAAGCTGTATAAATTGTTAAATGGAAAAACGAATAACAAATTGGCTCTGCAAACTTTCACCCAAATCACACTAAAAAGTTAAAAACAAACAGAACCCCTACAAACATTAAAGTAGAAATGTTCCATTGAGGCTTTTTATATAAGGAGATTTTAAAGCGAGATAAAAACAGAAGCAGAAAGACGGAGTCAGAAAGAGAGAAGGAAGCTAAAGGAAAAATAGAAGTACCCTCTCCACAATTTCAAAGTTAGAGGACTCTTCTGAGCAATTGGAACTGTGTTTGTGACGCTGTAAGATGTAACTCATGCTTTTTGTTCAAAAAGTTCATGGAAAACCAGAATTAAGAAAGAGAATGGAAAATCTCCATAAAAGTTTTTGAATCCCCCTCTTATTTTCATCACAATAAAAATAAATACAACAAAGAAAAAGAAATTGCATTTCCCAGGTGATTGTTAATGCTGCTGGTTCAGAAAAGGCACTTTGAAAATGATTAAACTACACCAGACTTTGGTGATATGCATGGGGACAGGTCTCTTCAATGACATGGTGGAAGGCTATATAATTTCTCCATTTGCCTGCACCCATTTCCTAGTGTATAGTTCTCCCGTAATAAGACACTAGGTTTTTTGTTACGCTTGATTTTCAGTGTTATGTTGAATTAAAAAAAAAACAAAACTTTTTTTCTTCTCTGTCTACCTAAGATCTTTATATGGAAGTTCTGAGAGGATCCACTGAGGATCTTTTTTTTTTTTTTTTTTTTTCTTCAAAAACATAGAACTACCAGTTAGCTCTTTGAACCTTGCTTGGCATACTGCTTCAAGTAACATGTCCGCCAGCCTCTTCACAGAAAAAGGAAGTTATTTCTGTCTGTCAGAAAACTTGTCTTTGGCACTAGCTTGCCAGCTGCAGGGCGGAAAGGCGGCAATGTGGGTGTGTTGTCAGCAAACTGAAAACTCTTTCTGAAAAAGCGACAGATGATCTGATTGCTCTGTTATCTCCCTTTCAGAACTGGCTGACAGAGCTAGAGATCTTCGCTATCATCTTCTCAGCTGCCATCCATGACTATGAACATACTGGAACCACCAACAATTTCCACATTCAAACTCGGTGAGGTGACTGACGTTTTTGCAGAAGAGGCAAGAGGGGGCAGGGATAGAGTGCTAGCAGTTAGAACGGTATTAGTCACCTTTCTTCTGCATAGTTGCTATATTTTGACTTACTTTTCAAATTTTTTTTTTTTAAATGAACTTTATAAACAAGAGCTCTGACTAGGAAGTTTCAATTCAGACTTTCTACTTTATGAAAGTCATTTGCTGTGAATCCTCATATTTTATTAAAACCTAACTTGGGTGTCCTTTTCTCTTCTATTCTGTTGCTCACTATTTGCTTGTTTATTTATTGATGTGTTATGTATATTCAGTTTGTTTCTAAGAGAATATGGGACCTTTTACATAAAGGCCCAGATGCCATGTAAATTAAATCAGTGAGGACTGAAATCATTCTGTTGACTTCAACACCAAGTCTTCTTACTTCTTGATCTCTGGGGTTCTGGTGAGAGCACTCTCTTTGGTCTCATTTTTGCTCAGTGCTTACTTCTCTGCCTGGCACAGGGTTTGGGGAACTAGATTGTTTCATACAGGCCACTTCCAACATTGATACCTTCTATATCCTCCTGAATGAACTGTAAAGTGAACGCAAACCTTTCTGACCTACCATGTCCTGGTTTTAGAACATCCCTTCTCCTATAACCATGTATGGAACTGGAGAGAATCTGACAGTAGGTTTGATTGGGCCTTGCCATCAACAGAAGCTAAGATTTGAGGATAAATGGTGAGGGAAAAGAAAAGAATGTAGCAGGGAGAGATTAGAAGTTTAACACTAAATGATTGTGATTTTCACTTGTGGAAGCAGAGCCATACTCCAGATAGATTTGCATTCAATAAATCAATCTACATGTATTTATTTAGTGAACCCAGCACTTAGTCATGGCGTACAACAGAGAGGATGGTATCATCTGATCCCTGCTCAAAAGAAACCTCTCAATGGAATGGAAGGCAACAAAAAGACTTAAGTCGCGTTCCATCCTCTGACCTCCTCACGTAGAATAGTCCCAGGAGCTGGAAGCAGCCTTCTGTGATTCTGTTCCAGAGTCTTTAAATGCAGGTAACTCCATGAGTGAGGAGCCTGTTTATCATGTATCTGTGAGGGGAACTTGTGCTGTGAGGATGGAGAACCACAACGATTGCCCCAACAAAAGAAAATGAGGGGTTGGAACAGCTGTAGATGGTTTTTCACCAGATTCCCTTTAATAAGGGAATCAGAATCCAGAGAAAAATGGCTTAACTACAGAAGTTGGAAAATAGTTTAGTGTTACAAAGGACTCAACAGTTGTAAGAGCAGATCTTTTACCTCTGGATTTTCAGGTTTTGTTTTATATCCAAACCAGTTGCTATAGAGTGGACTCATGCTAACCCCATGCTCCATAATATTTTTGGTGGCTGATTATTTTGGAACTAAGTCACCAGGTCTGTTTCCCAATACACTTCTGAGTAGACTTGAGCCCTCCAACCTTGTGGTTAGCAGCTGAGTGTGTTTCCTGTTTGTACCATCCTGGAACTCTATTATATCCATGTTGTTGTTGTTGTTAAGTGCCATCGAGTCAGTTCCCACCAGTAGTGATCCTTTTTAAGGCTTCCAAGGATCAACTTTTGTGTTTGAATTGGCGTCCTTGTATTTCACAGTCCAGTGCTGATTCTACAGCACCACACCAGGAGTCCATTAGGTATAGAATGATTTCAGGTAGAGTTTGGTTAAACTTGTTCTTGAGTGAAATTTGAACATTGTCCTTCTTTAACAAGACTTTATCCAAAACATCTTGCTTCTGTGATCCTTGTTCAGAAAACTGTTTGTAGCCATGCCCTTTTGTTCTTTGAGTGATAAAGTGTTATGTCTAACACTTTAAAGGTAAACTAGATACATCCCAGAATTTGGCCAGTGACAGATGGAAATTGTCTTGGGGAGCAATAACCTAACTGGAAGACGACTTTATACTTACCCACTGTACGTCTCTAAGAATTCCCTTTACACCTGGTACTCAGTTTCCTTGTTGAGAAATGAATACACTCTAACAATCTAAGATTTCATTATATTTATGATATTAAAATAGTATACAGCCCAAATACACTCTAATAATCAAAGATTTCATTAAATTTAGAATATTAAAATAACATACATCCCTGTGCTTATGTGACATTTACTTACGCAGTGGTCTCTGAGAAAGTGACTGACAATTGTCTGATCAGATCCTTATGTTCTTAATTGTCTGGTTTTTACATGGCAAATGTTTAAGATCTGTACCCACCAGACAGTGTGTGTTCAGAAAAGTACAACTAAAATAAACAAATGAATCTATTGAATAAGATAAAAATCAGAAGTTAAAGACTGCAAAACCATATCAGGATGTTTGATGATACACACACTTTTTTCTTTTAATCACCTTTGCTACTAGTACAAGCAATTGAAATCAGTTCTAAAACAGTTTTCAGGTTGAATATCACCTATTTTGCACCCACATATTGACAGTAAAATGCCTTACATACATGTCTTGATCAATGTGCTAAGTATGTTAGTTTCAGGGTTTCGGTTGATGTAAATAGAATGGGACAAAGATAATTTCCATATGTAGTGCCTTTCAGCCTGAGAAAGTTACTTGAAAACCCCAGTTGTTGAACATCCAAAACAATGATTCTTGGCTTTCTGTGCAGATCTGATCCAGCCATCCTTTACAACGATAGATCTGTCCTGGAAAATCACCATTTAAGTGCTGCCTACCGTCTCCTGCAAGAGGATGAGGAGATGAATATTTTGGTCAACCTCTCAAAGGATGACTGGAGGTAAGGCTGAAACAAGAGGAGAATCTGGAGGTCAGGGAAACAAACTGAGACAGAGAAATGATGCTATTTTGAAGAAATAATACCCGGTTTACAAATTTTTTAATACAGTTACTTTCTATATAAACCAAACCCCAAGACCAAATCCATTGTCTGTGAGTCAATTCTGCCTCATAGCTACCCTATATGACAGAGTAGAATACCCAGTTTTTTTAAAATGAAAAAGGTTTGATACAGACGTCAAAGAAAGATATGAACATGGACTATAAGTAGATACCGTGGTGCCTGCCACCCCTAGTCATCAAGAAAAAGCAGTTTAAATAACAGTGAGGTACCACTATACATCCACTGTTGCTGACTCATAGCGACCCTGTATAGGATTTCTGAGGAGCAGCTGGTGAACCAGTAGCTGTGAGGCTATGAGTGGGACCTGACTCAATGACACTTAACAACAGCAACAATAACAATGGAATATGTGTCTTTGTACTGGACCATGAACCACAAGCTCAGCAGTTCCAGCCCACCAGCTTCTCCATGAAAGAAAGATGAGGCTTTCTTCTCCAGCAAAGATTACTGAAATTAAATACTGACAATATCAAGAGTGGACAATTAGAACAGCAGAAATTCATAGACTGCTGGTGGGAATTTAAAATAACACAATCATTTTCAAAATGTTTGGCAGTTTCTTGTAAGCACTCATTTTATAAACCAGCCATTTCACCCAAAAGAAACAAAAACACATGACCATAAAAGACTTGTACGTGAGCATGTATAGTCTCGTTATTCACAGTAGCCTCAGACTGGAATCTAATAATCCAATGTCCCTCAGCAGGTGAGTGTATCAATAAATTGTGGTATAAACAGACAAAAGAGTACCACTCAACAATAAACTCAAATGAACCATTGATGAACAGATCATGAATGAATCTAAAAATCATACCGAGTGAAGGCAGCCTGACACTTTTTTTATTCTGTGTGTTTGTGTGTGTGTATGATTCTAGAAAATGCAGACTTTTAGAATAAAAAACAAAGGACAATGGTTGTCTGGGCCTGCAGATAGAAGAAAGGATGAATTGTATAATCATTGTGATAGAAATGTTCTTCTGTATCTTAACTGTGGTGATATTTTCAAAAGTGTATTCAACTGCTACAACTCATGAATTGTACAATATACATGGAAGCAGTTTATTCTATATAAATTATGTTTCAATAAAGGTGATTTTTAAAAACAGGAGAAACCCTATACCAAAGCATAATATAAATGATCAGTTGGTCTCTTAAGACCATTTCCAAATTAATTATCTTTGAAAACTTTGTATCAGTTGAGAAAGGTATACTTTATACATTTCACTTATATTAGAAATTTTTTCAACTGAGTTAATTTTCCAAATAATCAGTTCATTCTACATGTAGTGTTTCTAATAAAGGGATCCTCCTTAATTCTTTACCCTTGGTTTATTCCTCATGAAAGGTCCACTTACAAGGCTCAAAATAGATTAGAAATGGCAGATATGATAGTTTTGATTAGAAGTTAACTAATTTATACTTTATTGATTTTTTTTTTTTTTTTAACATTCATCCTTATTTTTTCCTGGGGTGTCCCTGAAAGGGAGTTCCGGACCTTGGTGATTGAAATGGTGATGGCCACAGATATGTCCTGTCATTTCCAGCAAATCAAAGCGATGAAAACTGCTCTACAGCAACCAGAGGCGTGAGTTGGGTTTTGACAGTCATGTGTGTTGACAGGTGTTTGAGCTGGTACTTGGACTTGCCTTTGAACCTTTGAAGAGTACTTTCTCCAACATCAGAGTATTGAGTGGTCTCATAAAGTGGGGATGTTCAGAAGCTAAACCAGGCAGATTTAGGGATGCTTTCATCAGGGCTAATACCAGTTAAACCAATTAAAATTTAAAATACTTCCCATTGGGAAACCAAACGATCTAAAGTCCAGTCAGTGCAAAAGAAACAAATAAAAAGGATTCATTGACTTTTGTGTTCTCTATGTCCTTTTGATTAATACAGTCGTTCCAGAAATGGTTTTGAGTTAGAGTTGTCCAGTATACATGAGAAACCACATTGACAATTATTATAGTAGTCATAGGGTAAAATAATGCCTTCCCTTCAATTCAGTTGGAGTGGGATTTGAGATGGGACAATGAGAAAGGACTTTAAAATTACTGAGTTATTTCAACTCTTGTTGATGTTCTGATGAATTTGATCATCCCATGTTGATTCATTTGGATTTATAGAATTGAAAAGCCCAAAGCCTTATCCCTGATGCTCCACACAGCAGATATTAGCCATCCAGCAAAAGCATGGGACCTCCATCACCGCTGGACAATGTCTCTTCTGGAAGAGTTCTTCAGACAGGTAACTTGTTGCTATACTAATTAGTCATCATTGAACATTTCCTAAATTTTATATTTTAGCAATGCTATAAGCTTTTGTTGGTGGTGCTGGTGTACCATGGAGTTGGTTCAGACACATAATGACCCTGCATAGGGTCTCTGAGACCTCATCTTTCTCCCACAGAACAACTGGTAGTTTCACACTGCTGACCTTGAGATTAGCAGACGGACTCATAACCACTACGCTACCAGAGCTCCTTTTAGAGATTAATACTAATTGATGGGGCAGGAGGAGAGGAGAAGAGAATTCTATAGTTTCTTACGCTTCCTGGTCTTACCGTGTTTGAATCTTACTTAATTGCTGATTCTCAGACCGTTGTAGTTTTACTATATTGTGGATTTTTGTATAAAGAAAAAAAGCATTTCCCTGTGGCTGCAATTTTGCCTAAAATGCCACTATGAGGATCCGTTTTACTTGTATTTCTAAATACAAGTTGACAAAATGAGGGTCACTGTGGCTCCACACTTGGGATTAAGGTATTAATCTTTAATTCATAGTTAGTTGGACTGTTCCTTTCCAGAATACAAGCCCATGCTGTAAAACCCCAAAGCCAGGTGTGGAAATCTATGACCAAGATATTTCGAGAAACTATTGTTCCAATTATCTTTAAACTTACTGCAATCTGAGTCTCAGAACTGTGTTTCCTATAAGAATAGTCGTGGTATCCAATGAGTATACGTGATTTTAAAGCTGAAACAAAATGAAAAGGCAAATAGAGCTAGAGGAAAGATAGGTATAGCACCAAGACTGGCATATCCCCATATTCATCTTGTCCAAGCAACTTGTCATTGTTGTTGTTAAGTGACATCAAGTTGGTTCCAACTCATAGAGACCCTATATAGGGTTTCCAAGGAGCAGCTGGTGAGCTTGAACCACTGACCTTATGGTTCAAACCAACTTTGCAGTCCAGTGCATTAACCCACAGCGCCACACCAGGACTCTATCCCAGCAAGAGCTGTATTAAAATATCTACTTTGGAACATGAAACCTTGAAGTTGAAGCCTAAAATGGCATCTAGCTTGTGAGACTTTGATGTCTTTTTCATTAATTCAAAAAGGGCCGTTCACAGAGGCACAAAAGAATTCTAAGAGGCATCTGTCTACCCTTCCTGCATCCTTCCCCAGTGCTGTGCACAATATCTGGGAATGAAGTGTAACTAGAATTAACAGCATGTTAAAGACCAGGAGGTACTTAGTTGGAGTTTTTACTACCCGTAGTTTGTGGTCTGGGACTACAGATCACCACTTGAAATTGTGATTCTTTTTTTAGATGGATGGGAATGGAGAAGGGAATCTAGGAAAAAGTTGGACCAGTTCAGACCTTTCTAGCATCAAATGCCCTGAGTCTCCTTCACTCTATGAGTGCACGTTAGTACATGCTTGTGCACATGCATAAACTTCATAGGAACGTACCAGCAGGCACCCTGGTCAGCAGGTGGACTTTTCCTCTTCTTGTCATTTGGTCTCACATGGTAGTTCTCAAAGGGAGCTTGATAGAGTTCAGGACACTACACATTTATATGTTTCACTGTGTTGTACATACACAGCTTCATCAAGGGCTTATTTCAAGTCATTTATCCAAAAGCTATTTTTCTAATATTATTGAGAGGATTTTCTCCAAATACCCATCCATTTTACTATATGCTTTCTTTGGTATTGCTTTTGTTATAATACGTTCTATAGCTAAGGATATTCAGTCTATAATCAAGTGGCAAATTATGGCTAACTCATGGAAGTTTGAGTATTCTTATTCTTATTATAATTATGAAGAAGTGAATGGGAGAAATGACTTAAATATGTGAGAAATGACTGAAGTATGTGAACATTTCTCCCATAAAGGGAACCTTGTTTGCATATCCATATGCTCAAATTGAATGAAAATGTGCTAGAGGCAATGAGAAAATAACCATATTGAATTTCTTGCCTATTGGGAACTGAATGTTAATTCACTGGACTGAAACTATGTTTTAGTCATTATGATTTATAAATTATTTTTATTGACTTAATATTTTAACCCAGATGCCATGGATCAGAATAAGTAACCTACACAGGAGAAATGTTGCCTCAGCAATTAACTATAGATTTTAGATTGGGTAATTCAAACAAGAAATCTCAATGGAACTATGGAGTCTTTTTTAAAAATTACATTTGGAAACTTGGGTTATATTTCAAAATAAGGGCATAGCCTTGGTGCCAATGGACCAGACCACCCATGCTTTGCTAAATGAGTATGTTACATTTTCAGTTTTATAAGCACATTTTACAAATTCCAAGTCACTGCCTCAAGGTGCTTGTGAATGAAATATTGGCTTTGTAGAAGTATACATTTGTCTCCTTGGTAAACATATCTTGTTGTAAGAGCCTTGGGGTTAATTTCCTTTGTTTTTCTGTAATGTTGTTATGTCTTGCAAGCTTCTTACAATTCTTTTGATTTCCTTTGTGTCTGGTTATCCCTCCCTTTCTGTTTCTTATTTCATGCATTTGTGAATTTCCTTCCTTTGCTTTCTCAGATATTAGCTAATTGTATAATTGTTATTTTTTTCGGCTTTTTTATTGAAAATTTCCTGGGGATGTTTTGTAACACCTGAATTTGTATTTCTATTTTTAATCAATTCCTTTTTCTGCTTGAGTTTATTTTACTCTTTTGCTAACTTCCTGCATTGGATGTTCAAGTCATTCTTTTTGTACTCGTCTGCTTAATTTTAATAAATGTAAGGTTAAGAGTTGACCTTTTTTGTACATCTCATAGGTTTTGATGTATAGGATGCTCACAGTTATTGTTGTTGTTATTGTTAAGTGCCTTCCAGTAAATTCCAATGCATAGTAGACCAAGTATGGGGTTTCCAAGGAGCGGCTGGTAGATTTGAACATCCAGTCTCTAGGTTAGCAGTTCAGTGTTTATCCTACAGCACCATGCCAGGACTCCATTCTTAGTATTCTGTAATTTTACCCAAGAGTTTTGCTTCAGAGAGAGGTGATTGTTTATTTGTTGATAACTTTCCAATGGTAGATTTCTCTGCTTTTTAGTTTTATAACTAATTTGTGGTTAATTGAAATGTAATGAAATGATGTTTTCATAATTTGGAATGTATTGTGAAATTTGTTTGTCATCTACAATATAATCAACTTTTGTAAATGTTCACAGCCCTTGGAAAGTAGGTTTATTTTCTACGTACAAGGTAAATAGTTCCAAGGACATCAGACACATTTGTCTTATTATATATGTTATTAAGCATTTTTCATGCCATATAAAAAATGATCTATCATAAGCTAAATGATCTGTTCTACTTTTATTTTCCATATCTTTACTGAGATCTGCTAGTTTATCCCTGAGATCTTGTTCTTGGTAACTTCAGGAATTTCGTTCTGTTCCCGGAAGTCTGTTTGGCCATCATTGTCATCCACTTGTTGGTATCAAACCAAGAACATCTGTTCTTTGTTTTGTTTTGTTTCTTTCTTCTTTTTCTCTGTTACCCTTGAGATGCCTTTTTATAGGAGCTCTGTTGTTTGTTGTTGTTCTTGGGTTTCTGCTCTTTGCCTCCTCCTTCTCTTCCTCTTCTCTGTTCATTTTATTATTATCCCACCACCATCACCATTCTTCTTAGGCCAACTATTTGCATGAGCTTTGTGCCAGGAAGAAAACAGAGCACTAGTGTAAGGTGTTGATGTTGCTGCTATGTGCCATTGATTTGGTTCTGACTCATAGTAACCTGGCATAGGGTTTCTGACGAGCGGCTGGTGGGTTTGATCTGCCGACTTTGTGGCTCAAATTGACCTTGCGGTCCAGCTCATTAACCTGTAGTGCCATTACAGGAGTCCAAGGTAGCTGGGATTGTTCGGGTAAGAGCAGGCAGGCATCAGCTGGAGAGCTGCTCACAATTCAGTCTCTGTCTCTTAGCTTGCCTGTGAGCAAACTCTTCATCCTTTACTCCTTTTTTGAGGGTGGAGTCCTGGTTTGACAAACTGTGGAAAAAGCACTGGGTTAGTGGTTCAAACCCACCAACCACTTCTTGGAAATCCTACACAGGTTCGCTAGGGGTGTGAACTGACTTGACAGCACTTAACAATAACAACAACAGCAGCAGCAGGGCCCAGCATAGCTTCTTACACCAATACATACCACCCATTTCTGGTTTTTCCAAATAATGGGTACTGGATGTTTTTCCCACACGAGTGAACTTTGAAGAACTTACCTTTTCAAACTTCACCTGAGAAATGCAGCCATTGGTCTCACTGAGCATCCTGGCAAATGCCTCTCTGATACCCACAGTATTTGAGATAGCCTTTCCTCATAGAGCTTTGACTTGAGACTGACGGTATCTTCTAGTATTTGCATTCTGTTTCTCTTTATGCTTATTTTGGTAGGATCATTTCTGAGAAGAAAGGACAAAGACTTTTTGCTATGTTATCTTGAATCCAATAATTTTCTCATACTTTATATTTTGTCATTTCTTAACCTTGGGAAGAAGAGGGCACCTTACTACACTTTATTAACATTGATGTTTTTGGTGTCTTCCTCAACATCTGTTTTTTACTTCCCTTCGCCTGAGAAGGCACTCTTAAGATGTTACCTAAAAGACTTTCATTAACTATTGCATTGAGAGATGTTACCCAACCTTGAGAACTTCCAGTGCAGAATGAACTCTTGTTTCCCTTGATGTTGTTGTTGTTGTTGTCAGTGCTGTCGAGTCAGTTCCAACTCATAGCAACCCTGTATAGGTTTTCAAGGAGAGGCCGGTGGGTTTGAACCACTGACCTTGTGGTTAGCATTAGCAGTTCAGTGATTATCTTACAGTGCCACACCAGGACTCTTTTGGTTTAGTTGTTGCTTAGAAGCAACTGTTTGAAGCAAAGCTAACAATGTAAAGCAACACATATAAAATTCAGGTGTATTGCCCACTCATGTAAAGTATGAAACAAAAATTCTTGACTGGCAGGTGGTTCTCAATAAGATAATAAGCA